CATCAACCTGCTGAAATAAGCAAACGCGGGCTGCTTCAAAACGTCACGCTGTTCGACATGCCCTCCGGATTCACGTAAAGGGCGTGAAACAAGGCGACACCATTTCATCAAGACTCTTCAGCGTCTATTTGGAAATGGTGTTCAGAAGGATGAACTGGAATGTTGAAATTAACATCAATGGCGAGTAGCTCAAGAATGGTGCTCTGATGGCTTGGGGTCGTTCACAACATGCTGCAAGTGTTCGACCGATAAAGAAGGCGAAATTTCCTGGTAACCATCGCATATTACGCTGATTCAAGCAATCGGTATTTCCAGTCGAATATATCACCGCAAAACAGAGAACATTATAATTCAAAATGGCAGGTCTTTCCATATTTGCTCTTTTGCCTTCAGCGAGAAAGAAGTAAACTGGGGCAAAAAAATCATTTTGCTCTGGTTTCATTTTCAAAGTGAGTTTTGACAATACTTTGTCTGGTACGATGCATATTTCACTTTACGAGATCAAGAACAAAATTTCGCTGTATCCTTGCTGCTAGCAAACTGAGAATTTCTATAAAGAGGCCACGATTCAATCGTTGTACCTTCAGAGGATCGACGTAGATCAGGAGATGCGACTTTGCTCCCATACATTATAGAGTAATAATAGAATGCCGCGGTGGGTGAAAGTTCGCTGAGTCAAATTCCTACAAACAAGGTATTCTGAGAGACCAGTTATCGGCTCCAAGGTGTATAAACCTGCAGTCTCAGTGTTGAACGACAGGTCCGGACATCCTCTTACCGAGGATGAATAGAAAGACTCGCATGTAGAGCGAAAGGGAACGGATATTAGTCTTTCTGTAGATGAAATTACACAAGCGACAAGCTGTGAAAAGCTTGAAAAGTGGAAAAGCTGCTGGAATTGATGAAATTCGCCCTGTAATGCTCAAAGCATTAGGCGAACAAGGCACGTGCTGACTTACACGTCTCTGTCAAACTGCAGTGGCTACGAGGAGGATACCAGCAGACTGGAGCTCGAGAGCTGTTGTTACCCTGTTCATGAAGGGAGACCACAGGGAGTGCTGCAATTATCGTGGCATTACGTTACTGAGCCTCCCAAGTAAAGACTACGCAAAGGTGGTAGAAAGAAAGTATCGCGTAATAACGGGTTCCATGGCACGAGAAGAGCAGTGTGGATTCTGGCCCAGCCGATGTGCATGTGAGAAGGTATTCTCCATATGCCGAACCTTTGAGAAGTCGTGGGAGTTCGCCCACCCAGTGCATATGTGCCATGTTGACCTGGAAATAAAGCATTACCGGCTCTCTCGCAACAGTCTGTGAGCATGTCTCAGAACATATTGGTTCAATGGCCAGCTCCTAGGGACCATTCTATCACCATATGCTGATAGAAGATGCTATCGAAAACATTCGACGTTAAGTCGAAACCATTCAACGTTCGCACC